ATGTGAAATTACTATAGCTTATGTAAAGCTCATGTTGATGTTCTATGCAGTCTGATATTCAGATCTTATGTTTTAAATCTTTGCCATGGTAAGGCGGGGAACCCCCAATTTGGTGGGCTCCTTCCAACCAGCAGCCAGCTGGCCAGTGGGGAGGAGCCCTGCCCCCAACAGCAGCTACCTGTTGCCACCCATCTCCCTCCCCTTCTGCCAGATTTAAAGGGTCCCCCAGTTGATCTGCAGGAATACATGGCAGGAGAGGAGGGAGAAGCAGGAGAGGAGGGAGGGGGTAGCTACCGGCCACAGACCTGCACTCCAAGCAGTAAATTCACCACTTGGGATTCAGGTGTGTGGGCCCTGGCCCCTCCAAAAGCATTTAAAGGGTCCCTTTAAATGCTTTTGGAGAGTGGGGCTGTGCATGCCTGAATCGCCCCTTGGGGCCCTGCTCTCAAAAAGCATTTAAAGGGACCCTTTATTTAAAAAAAATATTTAAGGGATACGGCGCGGGGGGGAAAGGAACAGGGAAAAACAGATAGAAGATATAATCACCAAAAAAATCTAGTGTGAGGGCAATTTTACAGAAATTAAGGACTTTCCTTTTTTCAAAATTTATAAGTATATGTAACAGAGTATATGATATAATAGCTTAACAAATGTGTAATAAGATATATATGGTGTAATGGCATAAGAATATAGCTTAAAATATATATGACCTATTAACTTAAAAATCTGTATAATGACCAACTCATTCTACCAATTTCTTATGCTATATTTTCATTTTTATCTTATCTTATCTTATAAATCTTATCTATTATATAGTATAACATAGATAACATCACAGAAATTTTTATAAGATTTCACAGAACAGTTTGTTATAATAAACAACATGTACTACTCTTTTCATTTCATGTTAAAACTGTCTTATAGTATTATTGTTTACTATTAAACCTTTCAGGTATATAACTAAAGAGATTAATTATAATAGTCATAGAAAACTCTCCAATTGCTTTCGCATTCATCTTTCAGTCTTTGGTTAATATAGTTTGTCAGTTTTGCCATAACTGCATATTCTTGCATCTTGTCTACCCAGTTCTCAATAGTTGGGCAACCCTCAATTTTCCACTTGGCTGCAAATACTATTCTTGCTGCTGTTGGCATGTATCTGAACAAATACAAAACAGCTCCAGTAAAACTTATGATACATTTGTACGTACCTGGTATCCAGTACTCGACTACATGACAGAACACAACTGGTATCCAGTACTCGACTACATGACAGAACACAACGTGCTGCCCTCTAGAGCGAGCTATCACACATGGCTTCACTTTTGATTTAACTCTGACCTCCACTTTGCTGCCGAGACTCCTCTTGTTGTTCAGAGTAGCAGACTCCTAAATTTGTTGTAGTTTAAACCTGACTTCATTAATTGGGAATTATAGTTCAAAAGTACTGGCCATGTTATTAGAGACAGCTTATTGAAAAATTGGTGGTCACTTAACACAAGAATGAGTCCCCCAATATCTTCTTCTTCTTCTTCTTCTTCTTCTTCTTCTTCTTCTTCTTCTTCTTCTTCTTCTTCTTCTTCTTCTTCTTCTTCTTCTTCTTCTAATCACTCAATCCTGCAGAGCTTTCTGGCTCTGAGCGATTTACAGTTACTCATTCATGCGGGACTAACAATGATTTATGGGGGTAAGGGAGGACAACATGTCTCTGTACTGGGTGAAGTTATTGATTTCCAGTTCTGAAGTACAAAATCTTTGGACAAGACTTAAAATAATAATATAGCATTCAATTAAAACAAATAACTAGATCATTCTAACTATTTGTATTCAGTCAGGTTTTGCTATTCCCTAAAATTGTTCTCCATTAACTCCTTTCTCCGTTGGTGGAAAGTGCTGTCAAGTCACAGGTGACTTATGGTGACCCTGTAGGGTTTTTAAGTCAAGAGACGTTCAGAGGTGGTTTGCTATTGCCTGCCTCTGCATAAATGACCCTGGACTTCCTTGGTGGTCTCCCATCCAAATGCTAACCCAGGGCTAACCCTGCTTAGCTTCCAAAATCTTATGAGATGTGGATAGCCTGGGCTTTCCAGATCAGGGCCACACCTTTCTCTAGCCACTCATAAACCATTGCAATGAGTTGTTCAATATTACAGATGTTTAACGAGTAACAAGCATTAAATCCCTGCTATAGCTGTATATTTTCAGTTTCCTTCCCCTGTAGGAGCTTCTTGTTCCTCACGTGGAGGTCATTTGATGTGACAGAGAGGCCACAAGTGACATTATTCAGCCAAAATCAATGGGGAATTTCACATTACCCAGTTTCACCCGGTTTCAAGCCGGTAATGATCCGTTTTGAAGTGAAGCGGTACAGGGCTGCCATTTCACACAGGGCTTTCCCCTACTGGAAAAGAGCCGGATCAGAAGTGGTTTGGCATTTCAGACTGCACCGCTTTGTTTTCCCGCCATTTTCCGCCTGCGTGGGTGATCTTTTTTTTTAACGTTCAATTTATAGCGCTATAAAGCAAACATTTCCCCCCCCCCAAAAAAAAGCCGGAGATCGCCCGCGCGGGCGAAAAACAGCAGGGAAAAGCACATCAGAATCGGGAGAGGAAACTGAGGACACTTGGAAGCGGTTGACAGGTAAAACGCTTCAGCCCCGTTTCCTAAACGGGACAGAGACATTTGTGTCTGAAATGACAAATATATTCCAGAAGGGAACCGGTTCTCAAACTGTTCTGTCTGAAATGACAGACCAGAAACCATTTGGGAACCATTCCTCTTCCGAAATATATCATCTGTCTTAAATTCCTCAATGTCTGTAACATCACCAATATTACATCCAATCAGCATTTTAGAAGTCAGCCTGTATTAGATGTATAAATACACACTTTGGATGAGATCTAGGTCTCTTCTGTCGTGCATTCTATCTTTAAGCACCTCAATTGAGGCAGCACTAGTGACCTTTCCTTGATAAATTGACCAGTTAGCCATCTATAATCATGTGCCAGCTAATATAATTGGGTGGCATAATTACCTTAGATTGCATTTTATCACATTTCATTAATTCTGTTATGATTCACAAATATTTTATTTGTTCTTATTTATAGGACTCTTTTTCCAGGATTGAACTATGAACCTGAAAATTCTATATCCCTGAATTCCATAGCAAGAAACTCAAAATCATCTATCACAGTCTATTTTACAAATGGTGTTGCATATTCATTGCAGAATGTGGACTTGGGGAGGGGAGGCAGGAATAGTGAATACTGTGATAGAAATGCTGATATGGAAATCTGCCCACTTCCAGTGACTGGATTTGTGTGAAATAAACCCTGGATATGGAATATGTTAGGATCAGGACAACAGGTAGGGACAGACTGTTTTTAGAGTGTACCATTTGTAATCACAGGCCTTTTGTGCCAGAATTCTGTCCCAGCTGACAAGTTCTGCAAAAACTGAATCGCCAGCATAGAGGTTCTGTATTCGAAGTTAATCCTCTTAGCAAGTGATCTATGATTTGCCAAGTGCTCCTTCAGGGAGCAGAGCTGGACCTTTTGAGTCAATTGATGTAATTCTGCTCTGCAGGCAGCCTCAGGAGATTCCCTTCTTAAGTGCTAAGCATTCTGTTTCCTATGCACTGCAAGCTCATGACAAATGTGTAAAAGGACTAAGAACCACTAGTTCAATGGGCATTAGTGTTGTCCCCAATGTATGTGCATTAGATGTGCAGGGAACCAGTCTATTAACAGTGGTACTGTGTTCTGTGGGCCTCTTGGAGAATAGTAAAGAAAGGCATGAGATATTTTATTCTGAAGCAAAAATCCCCAAACCCCATTAGAGCTAACAATTCGGTCTGAAAACCTTCTGTTACTATTGGCAACATTTCACTGTACTAATAATTTCAAACACCTTAATGTCATCTGGTATTCTGTTGCTATTCTGTAAACTGTTGATACCAGTACTGTATGCAATGTAATATTGTTGGTAGCCTCTTAACCTCCATTATGATTGCCTAGTAATAAATTATTTCCATACAGTGAGATAACTGTTCATGGATAAGGGTGTAAACAACCAGTACTGTATGCAATGTAATATTGTTGGTAGCCTCTTAACCTCCATTATGATTGCCTAGTAATAAATTATTTCCATACAGTGAGATAACTGTTTATGGATAAAGGTGTAAACAAGGAAAACAGAAAATTTACATAATCAGGGAATGTCCCACAGAACAGTCACGGTTTTATCCATAACTTGCTCCTTTCTATATGTTGGAATAAGCAAGGTCTATCGTGCATAGATAGAGAAGATGACAAGAACATCCTGCAGGGGGCAGCAGAAGGGACAACTAGTTAGCATAGTGAGATTAGGGACATCCTGCTATTTTTAATTGTCTCCTTCCTGTCTCCTGATTGGCTCAGTTAGGTCTCCTTCCTGCTCCTGCTTTGAACTGTTAGTCTGTCAACTCTCCTAGTTAGTTAGTCAGTTAGATTTCTCTCTCTCTCTCTCTCTCCCCCCTTCTTTTTTACAAAGCTTGTTCTCTTCTTAATAAACCAATTTTATTCTTTAAACACCTTGCACTCCCCATTACTGCATACCTACACTCTTCCAACATCATATAAGCTAGATAAATGGGAGCGGATAACAAGTACAGAAACTGACCCATAGACTTCAGCATTGATATTTGTACCATGGTGTTTGGACCACTGGGCTTCTTCAGTTACAGAACAAAAACACAATAAATGTTTCTTGAGCAAACAATAATCAAATGTTTGTAACAATAAAATTTAATCATATATTTTAGATGTTTTAATTTGTGTTCAATATAATTAACATGCATTACATGTTTAACATATATACTTAGAGTTAATATTAAGTTCTCTTATTTGAAATTGTTATACATTGCCTATGTGTTCAGGGTTAAATGGGTAGCCATCCAACCAAGTTGGGAGACCCCCTTTTAGAATCTTGGAGGATAAACAAGCAGAAGAGACAATTAAGGAATGACAATTGATGAAATAACAACTGAGAATATGAGAGAGTTAGTGAAGAGAATTTTATTATGAAGTCTAAGGAACAGAAACAGTTAACAGTTAGGAAATATTGAGGAATTTCACATTATCCTTTTTAACCCATTTTGAAGCCGTTTTTGATCCGTCGGGGAGTAAACCGGTATAGGACTGCCATTTCACACATGGCTTTCCCCTTCTGGTAAAGAGCTGGATCTGAAGTGGTTTGCCATTTCAGACTGCAGCGCTTTTTCCCGCTTTCCCCCCGCCAATTTTTTGCCCCCGTGGGCGATCTCCAGCTTTTTAAAAAAATGTTCGCTTTAGAGCATTATATCATTATAGTGTTATACCGTTATAATGCTATAAAGCGAATGTTTTTTTTAAAAAGCCAGAGATCACCCGTGCGGGCGAAAAATGGTGGGGAAAAGCGTATCGGAACCGGGAGAGGAAACTAAAGACTACTTGGAAGCGGTTGACAGGTAAAACGCTTCAGCCCCGTTTCCTAAATGGGACAGAAGCATTTGTGTGTGAAATTACAAATATATTCCGGTAGGGAACCAGTTCTAAAACGGTTCTGTCTGAAATGACAGACCAGAAACCGTTTGGGAACCATTCCTCTTCCGGATTATATCGTCTGTCTGAAATTCCTCGTTAGCATATCAAGACATACTACTGTTGTTCTGAATGGATAAGGATCATATAACCATAAAGTTGAAAGGGGCCATACAGGCCATCTAGTTCCACCCCCTACTCAATGCATGGCATGGGATATTTCCCCTCCTCCTGCTGCCCTTTTTGTTGTTGTTCAGTCACACAGTTGAGTCTGACCATTTGCGACCCCATGGATGACATTCAGGCCCTCCTGTCCTCCAGCATCCTCCAGAGTCTGCTCAATTTCATGTCCATTGCATCGATAACACTGTCTAACCATCTCATCCTTTGTCATCCCCTTCTTCTTTTACCTTCAATCTTTCCCAGCATCGGGATATTCTCCAGTGAGTGCTCCCTTCTCATTTGGTGGCCAAAGTATTTGGGCTTCAGCTTCAGAATCTGGCCTTCCAGGGAACAGTCAGAGTTGATTTCTTTGAGGATTGACTGATTTGATCTTCTTGCAGTCCAAGGGACTCTCAAGAGTCTTCTCCAGCACAATAATTCGAAAGCATCTATTCTTCAGCACTCGGTCTTCCTTATGGTCCAACTCTCATAGCCATACATGACTACTGGGAATACCATTGCTTTGACCATGCGGACTTTTGTTGGCAGGGTGATGTCTCTGCTTTTTATCATGCTGTTTAGGTTCGCCATCGCTTTCCTCCCAAGGAGCAGCCAACATCTTAATAGCTGTCTTTAATTGATAATTTAAGATTGAATGCTGCTGAGTTTGCTTTTACAGTTGCTTGCTTTTACTGTTTAGTAATTTTTTTGTTTAATCTTAATTGGCTGATTATTGTTTTAATAGATATTATTGTAAGCAGACTCAGGGACTACTTTGTATGTTTTAATTTGTCAGCTGCCTTGGTAACCCAATGGGAGTGGAAAGGTGGGGTAAAAAAGTATTGTTAATAACAAGAAGAAGAAGAACCAAAATTATGGTGGTAAGAGAACAAAGTCTGAGTCTAGAAGAAGAAGAAGAGAAGAGATTGGATTTATACCCCGCCCTTCACTACCCAAAGGTGTCTCAGAGTGGCTTACAAACTCCCTTCCCCTCCCCACAACAGACACCCTGTGAGGTAGGTGGGGCTGAGAGAACTCTGACAGAAACTGCTTTTTTTCAAGAACAGCTGTGCCAGAATTATGGCTTGCCCAAGGTCATCCAGCCAGGTGCAAGTGGAGGAGTGGGGAATCAAACCCAGTTCTCCCAGCTTAGACTCCGCGCACTTAACCACTACACCAAACTGGCTCCTCAGGTATCTAGGGACACCTTTAAGACCAACAAGGTTTAATTCTGGGTATAAGCTTTCATGTGCCTGCACACTTCTTAAGAATTGTGGTACAAGTGTGGGATGTAATTATCTTACATAAATAAATATCTGAGTTAGACAAAATGGGCACTAAACTGGCTACGACTGTAAAGAAGCTAGGTTCTATCTTGCACAGGTGTAATTAGCTAGAAGGCTCATCTTCTGCACTAGTGCAAGGCGTTTAGGCAGAATAACTGTAGCTACAAGAACTTCCATGGATTCCAGGAAGGTGGAACTGGAGCATAGTGTGGGAAGGATGTGAGAGCAGTGGTATGCATTTTATTTCACAATGCTGCCATCAGGATCCTAAGGCTGCCATCCTCCATGTGGGGGGTGGAGTTTTCCCAGAATCACAACCAGTCTCCAGACTGCAGAGATCAATTCTCCTGAAAGAAATGGCATCTTCAGAAGGCAGACTCTATAGAATTACATCCCTGCTGCTGAACTTCCTCCCCTCTCCAAACTCTGTCCTATGAAGGCTCTGCCCCTAAATCTGGAGTTCCCCAAGCCGCAGTTGGCAAACCTAATTTGCATTCATGCAAGACTGTGTTCTAAAGACATGGATAAAAACTAAAAAGTATGATGCGAAGACCCATAGGCAGGCACATAGTCATGATTTTTTTGGCTTGTGGGCATATTTTTTTCTGGTGGGGGAGCCATTATGTGTCTGTCTATACACAACCGTACAAAACTGTCATATTTATCTCCCTTATAAATAAAAGCCGAATGGTGGTGGTACTTCTCTAGAATATTCCACACGCTCCAAAATCAGTTCACTCTCTGATCTGTCATTCAGAGGGTCTCCCTATCCACTGGCTGCTTTGCCTGAGTCCTGCCTCCAACATTCTAAACATTTTGCTGTTCCTCTCCCCCCCATAGCCAGTCAGAACACAGAGGTTATTTGCATATGCAGCCTCATTGGCCTCTGCCTCAGAACACAGAGGCTCTCTTTACGTGCAGTAAGTGGCTCTCGCTCGGCATATGCCTGCTTCCTGTTTGCTCCACTCTTTTTCCAGCACTATGCGCCTGGAGAACCAGGGCCTATCCCTGATGCAGGCCCCGTCAGATGTAAAGTGTCTATGAAGTCTTTCCTGGCCGTGTTCCGCTCACTCTCCTTGCTGGAGAAGACTGTGGAGAAATGTATCATCTTGCTGCGTCTCTGTGACAGCAGGCTCCGTGTGCAGCTGCATTGCAAGTATGGAGTTGTCAAGACCCATGACTTGTCGTTCCAGGACTGTGATTCACTGCAGGCAGTTTTTGACACAGAACAGTGCACCCATACTCTGCATGCTCCTCCCAGGTTATTAGTGGATGCTGTGGTTCACTTCCCATTGACTTTGGCTGAGGTGACAATGGGTGCCAGCCCTGGTGGGAAAGTGACCTTCCGCAGTTACCTGGAAGAAGAGACAGAGGCTGGCCAGATGATGGTGACAGAGCTGTGTTTGAGTGAGGATGAGTTCCAGGTCTTCCACGTCAAGCAGGAGACACAAATCACTTTCTGCCTTAAGGAATTTCGGGGTCTTCTAAGTTTTGCAGAGTCTTCAAATCTTTCCCGCTTATATACATTCGAACCTGATTGGCCGCTTAAGTAGCATACATTGTTCTCTTTTCCTCCATGTTGTTCTCACAACAACCCTGTGAGGGAGTTTAGACTGAAAGTGCTAGCAAGCTTCCATGGCATACGTTGGACCCAAAGCAGCATACATTGTTTAGACCTGAATATGACAAAAACAAAATCATGAGTCTGATGTGGCTACCAGCCAGAGTTCAAGGATCAGCTGCACTTTTAGTGATGAAGATGATGAAGAGTCACAGCAGACTACCATGGGAAATACACAGGAGGGTGGAGAGGGAGGGAGAACTGGTAACAGTAGGGTTACCAGCAAATCAGGGCAGGAGAGGGATAGAGAGCTGGTGAGTACCAGCAAATCAGGAAGTGAGCAAGGCAAAGCACACGGCACAGTGTGACTTT